ATGGGTGCCAGGCGGGTGGAATTCTGCTGGCTTCCTTCTTTGTATATTTTCTACAACTCGATTATCATTTTCATTTTTATAACAAGCCTATGTGGTTTTTCTTATGGGGAAAATGTCCATTTTGAAGGGAAAGAGGTGGGTCATCAGCTTTAAGATGAAGCCCCCCTCCCCCCTGCTGCCTCAGGACACCCTCAGGTGGCCACAGGCTCCCCCAAGCTTCCCAGACTTAGAAGGGGCCGCGCAGCTGGGTGGAACCGACCCTATCCCTGTGTGCGCAGCCGCCACCCCTCCCTTAGGCTGGTGGGGACAGGGAACCCCCGGAGATGGAGATCGGGCTTCTTGCAGAGGCTGCGCTCCCACTGGGACACTGACCAGAAATTTGCCGGCCCCCAGATTGGAAATGTGGCCCCTCGAGCCCCAGAGCCAGCTTCTCCCTACCAGTGGCCTTAGTAATTAGTAAAATAGGATTGAGCCAGCCACGGGGCAGGTTGGCTGCTCGGGCCTTGATCGATCTCGGGTCATTAGGCAAATTGCTGGAGGGGGAGGGGTGTGCTGGATGGGGGCAGGGCGCCCCCCATCCCCGCCCTAGCCAGGAACTGGGCCAAGTCGCCAGAGCTCTCTGGCCTCAGTATCCCCTCCAGGAAAATTGGAGTTTGACTCCCAGAGCCCTAGTCTGCGCCTCCGGGTGCCTCAGCACGCGCTGGGCTGCCCCAGGTCACATGCCCACCCTCTCGGTGCCCAGCCCGGGCCTGGGAGAAGCGAAGAGCAGCCTCCGGCCCGCTAACCTGAGGGCTTGGCGAGGCTGGCAGGCGGAGGGGAGGACTGGAGGCTCGGGCTTGCGTCACATTCTCCCCCCACCCTGCCCCGGGGGGTCAAGCAGCCTCTGTCACTTCAACCTCCATAAACCACCCCCAACCCAAGCCCCAAGCCCCCTTTAACCAGTGTCCTCCATCCCTGCTGGTTTTGGACACGCTGCCTTTCTGGTTGTTCTCGGCTCTTCCATCACAACTAAAGGTATTGGGGACGGGGAAGATACCCAAAGTTGTCCCATTTCTGGCCTCCCCCAGGTCCCTGCGCTGTCCGCAACTGCTTCTCTGATTCGATTTGTCTCCCACGGAAATGGAAGTCACTGGCCGCTGAGCACCCCTCCCCCATTTTATTAGAGCGAGGTTTTAATAAATGATGGCAATTAACACCCCCTCTAGCCCCACCCGAGCCCATGATCCGCGGTGACCCCTCCCGGAGCCCCCCAAACCTGCAGACGCCCCAAATCCCGGACCGCGCGCGCCTGGCACGGCCCATGTCCTCCCGCTGGACTCCAGCCGCCTTCGTTCTGGCGGGGTCAGGGGACTTTATTTAGATTGGGGGGAAGGGGCTGGGTTTTTCCGGCCGGGTGGGGGTCCCGGCGGGGCTGATCACGCGGCGCCCGAAGGTGCCACTTTGGGACGTTGGGCGCTGGGAGGTCCCGAGCGCCGGATTCGGGGTGCTGTGACGTTGGGGTTTCGCTCCTGCAGGGCCCAAAGTCCCGGGATTTCCTGCCCGCGGTTGGAGGGCGCCCGGGCACCGCTGGCCCGCGGGGGGGATGTTCCCGTGGGCTGTTCGGCGACAGCTGCTCGCGATCGATCCCCGCGCCCGCCCGGGCTCCGTTGCCCCCGCCGCGGCTCGCGGCTCCGCCGAGCTCTGGGTAGACACGGTGCTGGTGTGCACGCGGGCGCCTGGGCTGGGTGGCTGTGTTGGGGCCGGGGTCTCTGGGGCCCCGCGTCCTTGTCCCCCCTCCCTCAGCGGCTCGGCCTCCGTCGCAGGGAGTTCGAGAGACACAATCAGAGGGAATTCTGCTCCCCGCCACCTCTACTCCGGGCTGGGAAGGCGCGGGGCGCTCGGGCCGCGGGGCTTCAACCGGTACCTCTGAGCCGGCGCCTCAGTTTCCCCATCTAGAAAATGACACGCTGGAGTTGGTGGATCAGAAGGGAGCAGAAGGGTCTGGACTCACGCCCGAAGTCTGCCTTCTCTCCGCCTGCACCTCCGCCTGCTTTCGCTTCCTCTGCGCGCGGCCTGTGCGCTGCGGGTCCCGGAGCTGGGCTTGGGGCTGGAACTTCGGACGCCGAGGTTGTCACTATGGTAAGGCCGAGTCTGAGGCTCAACCAGATGTGGCTGGGGACAGACGTGCGCCCCCTCCTCCAGGCCCAGACCCCTCCTCTGTCGGCTCCATTGAGATCATCTCCCCACAGCGCGCGCTCATGGGAAAATTAGGAGTTCGCGCTGCCTTTGGCAGTCTGGGAAACTGAGGCCAGGCGAGGTGGGGCGAGGCTGCGGCCTCCTGGAGGGTGCGGGAGGGGAACGGGACCGACGGCGGCGTGGGGGCAGGTGGCGCGGCTGGAGGACGCCCCCACCCCCGGCTCGGCTGGCCGCGCACCGCAGGCCGCTGACTTCCCCGGCGCAACGAAACCCGCGTGGCGCGCGGTGCTGCGCAGGGACCCGGCCGCCGCCCCCGCCGAGGGGTTCGCGGCCCCGGCAGCTGAGCGAGACCCCGGGCTGCTCCTCCTGGAGGCCGCGGCCCTCCGTTCAACCACCAGAGTGCCTCCCTGCGCCCTTCCTGGAAGGGAGGCGCCTTCGACAATTAAAAATGGAAATCTGTGTGTTTAATTCTCAGGGCTCTTCTTGCAGAAAAGCCGCCCGCGGATCCTGGAGCCAGGTCGGACCCGGCGCGGCGGGTGGGTTTGCGAGGCCCCAGGCTGGGGGACCCGGGCGACGCTGCCGCGGGGCTGTCCTAGGGCGTCTCCAGCACCGCCTTCGCCCCGCTCGCGTCTGCTAGCTCTGCGGGACCCGAACTCGCCGGCTTCGACACCCCGGAGTGTCCAGACCGTGCGAGCCCAGGACGGGACGACAGAGGCCTGGGAGAGCGCCCACTTGGCAGACGTGGAGACCGAGGTCCCAGCCCGGCGAGGGACCGACGAGCCCATGCCCAGGTAGGTCACCCTGGGCGGCATCTGGCCGGAGCCTCGCCTAGGCCCGGCGCGTTCAGGGCGGGGCTGGCGCCCCATGAACAAGCCACTTATCTGAACACACCGCGCCCTTTCCGCTCACCTGGAAGGGGGGAAGGGAGAGCCCTCTGTCCCCAAGACCGACCAGCCTGCACATCCTTGCCCCTTCTGTACTCTGAGTGGGGATTGCTGGGACTGGAGGACGGGGGCGCAGCCTTCCCAGCAGGGTCCGCATGCCGAGGGTGCGGGAAGGGAACGGGGCCGTTCGCTTGACTTAACAAACCTCTCTGTGCCCCTCTCCCGGGAGCTGGGGCCTCAGCCTCTGCACCGGCCTCTGTAGCTCCCACGCCCGGGCTGGGGGGGGCGAAGACAAAGACTGCACTGTCACCCCCATCCCCCTGAGGTCGGGACAGGGGTGGGGGGTGGGCTCAGTCTCACCTTTCCTGGAGGAGGGGACCTTGAGGCTGGGTTTTGTAGGGTGCGTAGGAGTTCGGGTCAGGTACCTAAGCCAAAGGGTGAAAGGATTGCTTGTAATTTGAGGGAGAAGGGAGTGGGGAGGGGGCAGGAGTCTGGCATTAATGAAGCTCATAGGCCTTCATTAAAGAAATATTTGTTAAATGAGTCAACGAGATAAAGCTGGGAACAGAGCTGAGCTGGGGGGTGGGTTTTCAAA